GTTAAAAACTCAGACACTCTGGCATTGCTTTAACTTTGAAGAATAAGCAGTATTAAACAAGTAAATGTTTTTAGTGGATGCATGGAGTTCCCACCAAATAATCCATTTTTGCCTTGTAATATCCTTTTTGGAGTTGTGTTTACAGTAGTTTAACTTGCACTCTTGTTAGGTTGAATTAACTTGTTTACAGAGTAAAATGCTATGACTGAGTGCAAAATAGTCTTTTATTTGCATTCTAGTCTTTAGTTTCAATTTTTTTTCTTATGTATTTGTAAAATCACAACAAGATACTAAATCAGCATGATGATGCATCTCAAAGATTCTTGATCAAACAAGATAAAATTAAAATGTCTCCTTGTAGAGAGTGTGCATTTTCATCAGCTGTGGAATTAGATGTCATATTCTTGCACTTGAATAGGATAGAGATGTTGTACCCAATGGAAGTAACGTTTTGAGGAACTTGTTCTGCTGTTGCTAGAATCTTGTCTGTTTGTATGGCTGATTTAACTCTTCCTTACTACATCACTCTTCCATTATAAATAAGGGCACTTAACTTTTGAGGACATTCTTGTTACAAGAGTGAAATGTAGCTCTTCACTAGTAAAGGCAAACAGGAGAAATGCGTGGGATGTTGCAAAAACAGCGTGCATTAGTTTCTCCTCAACTAACCGTTTAATTAATTTTACATCTTAGTTACCCTTATTTTTCACATAGCAATTGACTATATAACTATAATAAAGTGTGTTTTTAAAATAAAGATATATTAAATATATCTTCACTGCAAAGATATATTATATCTTAACATACTTCCTTTCTGTTTCAGGCATCTATTAGCAAGCTAAAAGTGACTGAACCATGGCTCAGTTTCCAACACCTTTTGGGGGTAAGATTTTTGTTGTTTGTTTTTGTTTTAAAATCAGAAAAATTACATTCCTTTTTAAATGCTTTCTAGATAGTAATGTCCATGAGACCCATTCACCTAATGTTTAGCCATCTGCTCTTCTGGTACTCTAAGGTGTGACAAAGTGGGTTTTTCCTCTTTATTATGTTGTACGTGAGCCTATGTGAGTCTTACTGTTTTGCATGAATAGTGTGTGTACCTCGGTTTCCCTGTGTATTGCACCAATGCCTAGGGGGTGGGAATAAGAGTGTGACTTTTGCTGAGACCCTCAGGAGCAGGTGAGAGAGCTCCAGCTGCCTGCATGTAAGCAATGGACAGTGCCCCTCCTAACCGGAGACCCAGGAGCGGGATGCGACCAGGTGACACTTTGCCTGGGAAGGGAGACAAAGACCAGGAGGAGGGGCAACGGGCATGTCGGAGGTCAGCCAGGCAGTCTGCAGTTGGGGACTCAGAGGGGGGGAGGGATAGCTCAGTGGTTTGAGCATTGGCCTGCTAAGCCCAGGGTTGTGAGTTCAATCCTTGAGGGGGCCACTTGGGGATCTGGGGCAAAATCAGTACTTGGTCCTGCTAAGGAAGGCAGGGGGCTGGACTCGATGACCTTTCAAGGTCCCTTCCAGTTCTAGGAGATGGGATATCTCCATTAGCCATGGGGATGGACTTCAAGTAGGAAAGGAGTCAGGCAGGTTTGGAAAAGAACTGTAGCCAGGGGCAAGAAGCCCTCCATCCTGCCCCCAATCTCATAATGGCAGCAACACTAGATGGGCAGTATGCCAGCTGGAAGATCACACCTGAGTCCCAATAGCCCACACCTGTGGCTCTCAACCTTTCCAGACTATAGTACTGTATCCCTTTCAGGAGTCTGATTTGTCTTGCATGCCCCCAAGTTTCACCTCACTTAAAAACTACTTGCTTACAAAATCAGACATAAATATACAAAAGTGTCACAGCCCACTATTACCAAAAAATTGCCTACTTTCTCATTTTTACCATATAATTATAAAATAAAGTAATTGAAGTATAAATATTATACTTACATTTCAGTGTATAGTATATAGAGCAGTATAAACAAGTCAACGTTTGTGTGAAATTTTAGTTTGTACTGACTTAGCTAGTGCTTTTTATGTAGCCTGTTGTAAAACTAGGCAAATATCTAGATGAATTCATGTACCCCTGGAAGACCTCTGTGTGCACCCACGAGTTCACGTACCCCTGGTTGAGAACCACTGGCCCACACCAACACCCCTATAGTTACACCTCTGACTGTGGAGCTCAGCTGCATCCCCCCCCCTCTGCTTTCATATAGATTGCAAATGGAGGGCTCTGAAAACTGTCAACACCAGCTTCCTCCCACTTCCACCTGTATAAAAACCCATATATCAACCCCTTCCTTCCACTCATGGACCCCTACTCGTATGCAGGCTGAGTCCTCCAGGGCTAGCACAGGCTGTCTGGCCCACATAGTTCTCATGCAATACAAAAGAGCAGAGCTTCTAGGGAGCCCATCCATGAGCTCTAGGCTACTTTCTTCCCTGAGAGACCTAGAAGGGACCCGTGTGGGGAAGGGGAGACCCAAAGCCTAGTCTCTTTGAGCACAGGCAGATTGGTAGCCATTTGAAATATATTTTTGGAGCAAACTCTGAGCCCAATTACACTTCCCTCTCTGAAGCAAGATTATGGGGACAAACTCCCAAAGGGGAAATAAATGAATAATAAAATCAGTGCTTGGTTCCCCTGCTCACCTTCGCGGAGTGCAGCATGGCAGACCTATGCAGAAAAATCAGATCATGGACAAATGCTGATTTTTCTAGGCATGTATTACGCCCCTGTCTATCTCCAAAAACAGGAGTTCTTCCTTCTTTAGGATGGAAGGCCTGCGGTCTAGATCAGACAGAGAATCAAATAGCAAAATAATAATTATTAAAAACCCACAATAATATAGCATAGGCCAGGGGTGTAGGCAACCTTTCAGAAGTGGTGTGCCAAGTCTTCATATAACTAAACTATTGTATGTAAAGTAAACAAGGTTTTCAAAATGTTTAAGAAGCATCATTTAAAATTAAATTAAAATGCTGATCTTATGCCACCAGCCTGCTCAGCTCGCTGCCAGCCTGGGGTTCTGTTCACCTAGGCCGGCAGCGGGCGGAGTAGGGCCTGCAGATGGGACCCCAGACCTGGGAGTGGGTGTTTCAGGGGTCAGGGCAGAAGGGTGAGGGGTGTAGGGCAGAAGGCTGGGGTGTGTGGGGCGTGTAGGGCAGAAGGCTGGGGTGTGTGCTAGAGTGTGGGGGGTTCAGGGTAGAGGGATGGGGCTGTGGGGTTGCAGGGCAGAAGGCTGGGTGTGTGTTGGATTCAGGGCAGAGGGCTGGGGGTACAGGGCAGAAGGCTGGGTGTAGGGGGGTTCAGGGCAGAGGAATGGGGCTGTGGAGGTGCAGGGGCAGAAGGCTGTGTGTGTGTGTGTGTGTGTGTGGTTGGGGGGGGGGTCAGGGCAGAGGGCTGGGGTGCTAGGCTCATGGGGGTGCTCCCAGCCCTCTGCCCTGAGCAGCTCATGGCAGGGGGCTGGAAGGGATATGCCCTATTTCACCCCCTTCCCCCAGGCTCCGTCCCTACCTCTCTCTGCCTCCTCTACGGAGCTGTGTGCATGCTGCCGCTCTTCCCCCTCCCCCTCGCTAGGGCCATCAGCTGATCGGCGCAGGGAGGGGGAGGAGGAGGGGCAGGAAAGCACCACACTGGGGGAAGAAGAGGGGGAGGAGGGAAGCTTGGGTGCCGCAGAGCCAAGCTTCTGCCTCCTGCCCCAGCAGGGGAGAGCGGTGGGCGGGGGGGCTGAGTGGGGCTGGGGGCCAGGACCGCAGCAGGGAGCTGCGTGCCACTCAGAATCGGCTCACGTGCCATGTTTGTCATGCGTGCCGTAGGTTGCCAACCCCTGGCATAGGCTTTTTCAGACAAGAGTATTGAGTGCTGAAAATACGCTAAGGAGGCCCACAGCCACCCAAGATGAGCTATAGTGATGTGTCCCTCCTCATGGACCCTGGGAATGTTTAATGGAGGGGTAGAAATGTCCTGAGCATTGCAGTGCTTCTGTCCAAGTTCCTGATAGTTCTTTTTCTCTCAAAGTTTTCTTTCCTTTCATCTTGCATTGTGTTTTACTCATTCTTTGCTTTCCTCTTGGGCTATTGTCTGTACCCTACAGCAACTCAGTTACAGTGCTGCAGCTGTGCCTTTGTAGCACCATAGTGTAGATGGTTTTTACGTCGACAGAAGGGCTTTTTCTGCCAATGTAGTTAATCCACCTATCTGAGGGATGGTGTGATAGGTTGATGGAAGAACTCTTCTGTCAACCTGGCTGCCTCTGCATAGAGGGTTAGGTTGACCTAACTGCGTTGCACAGGACACGAAATTTTTCACAGCCCTGAGTGATGTAACTAGGTCAATCTAATTTTTAAGTGTAGACCAGGCCCTAGTGTTTCAGCAAAACTTTTTTCTGTATTTTGAAGTGATGTTAGTCCTTTCCTGCCGAAGAAAAATATGTAGAGGCTCAACTTCTGAGTTCCTGCTCTTTTTGGTAGAGACTTCAATGGCTCAGGGACCATATTCTAAAACTGTTCAAATGGGGTTTCTGAAAAACTGACATGCTTTATGGTTTGGGAGACCTGTGTGGATGATGTCCAGATCTCATTAATCCGACATTTACAGTATTTGGGCTCAATATTGGAAGCGCTCAGCCTGTTACATGTGGGAATTTCATTCACAGAGCAGTTTCTGAATCTTGTTGACTCGTCTTAAACTCTGGACTATACTGTTTGTGTCCTGTCACACAAGATGGATAAACTGTTTTATGAACAAGTTGTGTTTGAAATAATGTTTGGACCATGTCTATATGAAGTTCTTAAATGGGTGTACAGAGTCTCTGAGAATTAGGCATAGTAATTGGGAGTTTTCTTCTCTTGCAGCCTGATCATTTTGTCAATTTAATTTTCTGTTCCAAAAAATAAGTCTGGAACAGTTGAGTGCTCTTTCACTTTTTGATGAATGAAACTGAACGATTATCTTTTAGGGGTTCCAGTGTCTGATAACATACCTTAAAAAAACCCAGATTTGTTAAAAGCTTTAAAGGACTGGTCCAGGTAAACTTAGGCAATGATGTAGAAATAAAGAACAAGATCTAGACAACTTGTTATTGCAAGTCTGTATCTTTAATGTTCTATTCAGGAGAACTGTATTTTGTTAGCATTAGATGTCTTTGGTTTCCTGAGATTCTGGCCAGCAATAGTTGTTTATTAGCTCTGCTGCAGCAGTAATAACTATGATATGCTCCTGGAAGTGTTGAAAGACACTGTTGTATTACCAAGCCAAAAATTATGAAGACCAACCTTATGTGCAATATTGTGTAATAGTATCTTAAATTATTTCTTAAGTGAGAGATGAGATGTAGTGTTGGCTGTAAGTATAAGGAAAAGTAACCTGGAGGACAAAAGAGAAACTTTATGAAGAGAAGAGAAACAAATGCAAAAGTGTCCCGACTAGACAGTGGAAGTAGATTCTGCACATCTGTACTGAGATCTGGAGAAGGCATTCTTAATGTCACTGTATTGGTTTTTTGTTTACCTTTTGTTTTTAAAAAGGTAGTTTAATGTGAAACTTATTAAATATTGAACTACAAACTTTAAATTTGCTCTGGAGGATCCAAATAGTACAAAATACTCCTACATGTTGAATTTCTCATTCATTCAGGAGTATAGTGTGGGTGCTCTCTTCCTACCTTGTACTTTTTTGTTGCCTATTTTATGTCCTCTTGCATGTTCACATCCTTCCTGGATGAACAGGTGGCATTTATTTCTACTTCTGTGATGGTACAAACCCATTTAATGCATGACTGTTGATGGCTTGTGACACCTCTTCACTGTTAGGTTTAGAAGAAGAGATTGCATCATGTGCTGCGCAGCATGTGCTGTTTGAGTGGGATTAGTTTCTTAAATAAGCAAAACCACATGAACTTTCCATGTTTTCTCTTTCATTAAACAGATATCTTTTAAATGTTGTCATCACAAATTGCATTACATGTTGTGTAGATTATTTATAACCTAAGATATCAATGAGCATAAAACTGCTGAAGCATTGTTCAGGAGTTCATTTCAGTCTTTGGTGGTTGGTTATGGTAAGACTGTACATATGGCTGCCTATTTAAGAATATGTATGAATGCAACTGTAGATTAGTTGGATATGAGATTATTTTTTATCTAGTCTAATACTTAAGTTTTCATAGGCAAATTAATTCTGCTAGTACCACCAAGTCAGAAGGTTAAAATGTTAAAACTTTGTGTACAGAAGACTTGTGGGCGGGGAAAGTAGTGTATCTTTTATGTACTTGTTTCTGACTTCTATATTTTCTTTCTACACAAGGCAACCTGGATATCTGGGCCATAACTGTGGAAGAGAGAGCTAAACATGATCAGCAGTTCCATAGTCTGAAACCAACATCTGGATTTATCACTGGTAATTAGATAGTTTTTCACATCTAATTCTATTTAATAATATCTAGAATTCATAGTAAATAAGTATGTACAAAAATTTATGGGAAAAATGCAGGTATGATTTTATTCATACTGTATTTCAACTCTCTGGTATCTCTCTGTCACATCAACGCCATCTCTTTTTGAATATTGCTGAAAACTTTGTGTCTTCTTCCTGGTTTATATCACTCGATTTTTCTCTTGTCATTCTTGCAGTCATACCTGATTCTCTAAAGCAATGCTACTCTATCTTGTAGAACTGCTTGTTATGTCACAATAATCATTGTCATAGAATCAGAACCACAGAATCATAGTGGGATGACTTGATGTTACTTAAATTAGATGACTGGCACCATTGCGATACATTGTCATGTTGATTGATCAATATACGCAAAAGACAGTCTAATTGTAAGTTGCACCTTTTTAAATAAAATCTGTTTAACAATTTAGTTAAACCAGTGCAAACCTCTGTATGGACAGCCTTGTATATCCATTTACAAGTGGCTTATATCAGTTTAGCTTGTGAGGATTAAGCAATAAATCCACACACATGGCTTGCACAGGTCTCTTAAACCACTGCAGATCGGGCTTAACGCCACAAAGTAATATCAAGATCTTGTTCTGTGGCTGTTTGGTGGCTCTGTTTGGTTCTCTTTCCTCTCTCACCGCAGCTACATGTGGAGAAAGAGAATGGAGGGTGATATGTTGCCTTCCTTGCTATCCACCTGTTAGGAGGCATCCAAGAGTCTCCAGAGCCTCATCTGTGGCTCTAAAGAGCCACATGTGCCTCTCCCAGCATAGGTTGATTATTGCTGCTCCTCATATGACATTGTACAAAATCTGGTATGGTTCTGTGTGTAACTTAATTTTGTAAAAAATTTGATACATAATACTACTTGTAGTCTTTCTACTCCTTTCCTTCATAGATTATCCAATTTCCTTTCCAGGGACCTAATCCTACTGCACCTAACCCTAATGTGCTGTCTTGTCTTTCCCATCCTTACTCTTCTACCTTTACCAACCTGGACTGAAAATGGGAAACTACCTCAAAAATTTTGCTATTCCTTTTCTCAATGGCTAATTAGTCTGAAATGGTAACTGAAGAGTCCCTTACTCAATTGGTGCTGACGGGTCTGTATCGTACCTTAAATACTCATGAAAAAATTGAATGTTTTATGTTTGTATTGAAGGGAAATAGTATTTCCTGTGGAGAAAGTGTGTGCTTCCTTGATTTCACTGGGCAGATGATTCCAATAAAGAAAGAGCCTTTAAACATGGATTGGATAGCAGGAACCATGTTTCCTATTGTTCATCTCAATAGATTTTTCTGGAAAATGTTAATATCCAGTTAACTTTAAATTTGCACCAGTTGCTTCCATTTTAATATTTAAAGCATGGGGTGGATATCTTCCCCAATAGACACCCTTGATTCACCAGTACCTAAAATTACATCTGTAGTATTGCTTGTAGATTAAGTGATAAACTGAATTTAAATAATATTCTGTAGTATGCTCCATGTTACAATATATGCTTTTTAATGTTGCTATCTTTTGAATGTTTTGACTTATAATTTAACTTTTAGCTCTGTCTTCTGGGTATTATTAGCAGTCCTTTTGAAATGATGCCTTTCTAACTTATTTTACAGGTGATCAAGCTAGAAACTTTTTTTTCCAATCTGGATTACCTCAACCCGTGTTAGCACAAATATGGCAAGTATATTAAAAAAAACCTTCAGTTATATTGGAGCAAGTAATTCAATTACATACACTTAAGATGCTGCTATTTAAAATCACTTGCTTTGCTCAGCCCATAGGCTAAAAGTCAACAAGACAAAAGCCTTGTTGCTATGATCCAGCTGTGAATATTTTTAAAGTTACTAATATATTTAGTATGCCTCTTGCTGGAGGTAGCAATCTTATTGTGACATTTGTAACCAAGTGGTTTGGTAGGAGGTGTAAGAAGAGATCATATAAAATGTTTCCAGCTTTGTTAAACCAATATTAATATAGTCATAAAATGCAACAATTATTTTTTTTTAAATACTAAGGGCTGGTCCACACTGGGGCAGGGGATCGATTTAGGAAACGCAACTTCAGCTATGAGAATAGCGTAGCTGAAGTCGACGTTTCCTAGATCAAACTAAGTTTACTTACTGCGGGTCCACGTGGCGCAGGCAAGCTCCCCCGTCGACAGCACTTCCTCCTCTCGGCGAGCAGGAGTTACGCAGTCGACGGGGGAGTGCTTCTGGGATCGATTTATCGCGTCCAGATGAGACGCAATAAATCGATCCCAGAAGATTGATCTCTACCCGCCGAATCGGGCGGGTAGTGTGGACCTAGCCTAAGATACTAGATATACTAATGGACTGTTAAACCAGATCTAGACAATTGTCATAACATTTATAATCTGCATAAAATCTACTCTTATCATAGTTCAGTGATAATGGAGTTTAAGGCAGGAGAGGAGGAACAACGATTTTATTATTCCTGGGTGAGTGAACAAGTACAAATTTGCAAAGCTGTGTTAAACTGCTAATAAACCCCGTTGGAAACTGGTACCTAGTTTCTTCATGTAGGGCTTTCAAATTGCTACTGTTCCAAATCATATCTAACTTTGACTCAGAAATGCTAATTTTAATGAAAATCTTGAAGAAAATATATTCTCTTCCTACTTGACCTTCCTTCTAAACTGAGCAAAATGAATATGATTTTCCTTGGCACATTGCACTGGCAGTGGGGGAAGGGGGGAATCACTGTGTTGACATGGTATCTACATAGATGAAAGTTAACGTTAACCAGTAAATACAATGAGTTGTTTTCCATGGTATCTCCTTATTGTGGCAACTCTTACTTTTATACTAGTAGAAATGTCTCAGTATTTCATTCCCTTATGGAAAGAGTGGCTCTCTATGAAAAAGGAGAGTTATCTTGCAAGAAGACAGCTGCTTTGGAAATGAGTATCTGCCCTCTTGCTGCTTTATGACAAGGCTTGAAAGAGGGTGTGTGTGGGGTGTTTTTTTTTTTGCTTAATTTTCAACTGTTCTCAGCCAGATCTTTGGCCTATAATGCAATGGCAAGAAGGCAATTATATTGACAGCCAAAGGATGTCACAATAGTTGTTCAGAGTAATCTGAGATGTAAAGAAACAAGAAATTGTGACCTCCCCCCATTTGAGGGGTAAGATACTCCAAAGGACATCTTTATGTGGTGGAATAAACAATCAGTAATATAGTTTCCAAAGGTCTTGTGATAGCTTCAAATCTTTGTGCTTATTCATGTGGATCCATTGTCACTTCTTGGTCTGAGAGACTTTTGGCTTCCATGGCGGAAGTGTGTGTGTGTGTGTGTGTGTGTAGTACTTATGTAAGAAAAGCTTCATGAGTTGTCACAAGATCTATTCAGTGGATTCATCTGCCTCAGTCTTTAGCTCAAGTGCTCTGTTCGCTGTTTCAGACTATAGGTCCAGATCTTTGTATGTGGGAAGAAAGCTATTTACAATCCTTAGTTTTCTATCTGTATTCTCCATTTCCCTGTCTAGTTGGAGTTCACCACTGACAAAACCCCCAGTTTGTTAGGACTGCCACACTGTCATTTTCTATGAAGTTTATAGAATCTATAAGAAAAAGTTAAAACAAAAACAAAAAGCAACTTAAGGCCCCCAATTCTGCAAATGTTTAATTACATGTGTATCTTTACTTGCCTAGTTATTTCCAAGGTCTTCATTAGGGCTACTTGCTTGAGGTAAAGTTTTGCATATGATAGTGTTGGCAGGATTGGGGCCTGACTCATTAACTTGTTAGATTCATGGCTCCAAAAACCAAGTCTGATGTAATGCAAAGTCGCATCTGCTTTTATAGATTCTTTTGTTAGCTATGGAAGCACTTGTGTGGGGAAATACAGCTGTGAGGCAGGAATTGCAGAGGGTTTGGCCTTGTTGACTGATAGTTCAGACAGGCTTCAGATCTGTTACAGGAGGAGTAATGCATTTTAGAATTGTCAAAGATATATCATCTCATAATTTTAAAAAAATCTGGCTTGCATATCTTTAAAAATATCTTCAAGTTTGATTTTAAAAGGTATAGTTCTCTTTTAAATTTGGTGAAAACTGGATTGCTATTTTGAGTAATGCAAAATCTGTTTTCACTAAAATAGAATGTCAGGAAAAGCTACCTAGTTGAAATGGTGTTTAAACATCTTCTGCTCAACAGAGCTATTTTGAAAATATTTTGAAGCTGCAGTAATTTGTTTTTAGACGTGAGACTATATGAAGGCTGTATTATAAAATTAAAATAGCAATTCAGTTCTTAACAAAACATCTGTGAGAATGTTGGGAGTTTTGTAGCGCAGCCCGAGGAGCTGCTATGGTTTATCATGACAATTCTTCGGATGATTTACTTTTTTCAGGCTTTGTTGTCTGTCAACCCAGTAATCTATAATCTATAAAGTGTCTAAAAAGTCTTTGAAATGAGACCGTAATGATTCAGAAGGTAAGAACTATTTTTAACAAGGCCATAATCTGGATTTCTTCCAAAACCCTGTTCCTCCTCCTGAAATCTTCCACCCAGTCCCCTCATCTCTAGCTTAGTTTAAACTAGTACTGGAAATAATCAGTGCAAGCTGCTGCTTATTATATTCAGAGTTCTGCAGCGAACATTAAAATAGTTTGTAGATTTACCCTCTTCTGACACCTGCTTTCCTCCTAATAGTGTCAAATTTGTGGAAGCTAGAGGAATGATGGGAAAATGTTATGGTAGGGCAGACCCTGGGATTTTACTATTTAATGTATACAGTAGTATAATGACACTCAAAACTTAATTCCTGCGGTTGTGTTTGAGTTTCATGGTTTAGGATGAATATGGGAATTTAAGGCTAGCTTTAGTCCAGATCTTCAGTTGCATTAGAACTTCCTTGCTGGAGTGTGTAACATCTAAAAATAACCTTCAGAAAGATATTTTTGTAGTTTAATAAGCCATGCTCTAAGTAACACAAATCCTGCCTGCCCAATCCTTGCCCTCACCATCAATCTCGCAGATGGGAACATTGCAGAGATTCCACTGCAAGGTATGGGGAAGATGGTAGTGCCGCTTCTACCAAAGTGTAGGCGAGGAGAGATTTGTGTGAAGAGGACCCCTTTTGCACCTAGATTTTGGGGGTCTGATTCAGCCTTTTGCAATTATCCAAGTAAAAGAATCTACAGTTATGAACGCAGGAACATTTTATAGATCTAATAAATCTGTAATCAATTTACTGTCCTACGCTGGTTTCCAGCCAGGTCTCAAATAAATGAATTAACGTACATTAAGTTCTTCCTAATTTTGTTATAACCGGATACTTTGTGTTTTGTGGAACAGTGAAATGTAGGTGGTGGTTACTGTCAGATACTCACAGAACTCCAGGCATAGCTTTGTATTTCTGCTAGCACACTGCAATCATTTAAATGTGTGTAAGTACTATTGCCTTCTAGTTGTACTTCATTTTCCTGAAGTTTGTGTGAAGTTGAGTAAAATAGCAAAACTGTTCAACTACAGCAAATGAGTAGAATAGCAGGAAAGACATTAACTAGAGATGAAAGATTTTATTGACTAAATGGGTAGACAGGAGTTTTCTCATTCAGTGAACATAATTGGAATTGTCATATCTTGTTTCTGATTATTATTAATTGCACATAGAAGGAAACTATGTAGATTAAAAATGTATTGTCCAAAATGTGGGAAACTACTAATGAAATAATATCACCTAGTTAGATATAATGCTTTCCATTAGTAGATCTCAAAGCGCTTTCAAAGGAGATCATTATCATGTAATGTCTGAATGAACCAGTCACATACAATGTGATGATACTTAATAGGATTCTCATTGTCAGGTGTATGGCAGTAGTTTGTAAATAAAAGTTGATTATGTAGTTGTAGAAGCCTTCTGGGCAGAACAAATAAGCACTGTTACAAAGGCATGTGCTTAAATATTTTACACCCCACCCCCGCTATTGTACCACTATATCCCAGCATCGGAAATCACTTAATTGCTTGAACTGACAGTGCCAATTGGATAGGCTCAGCAGAACTGACTTCTACATATGAAAAGTGAGAGAGCTGTTTAATGGGGAAACCACCAATTGCTCAGAGTGTGATCAAAGAAATCTCTCAGAGTAGCTTTCTTCAGGCAGTCTCTTTCGGTGATTTATCTTTATGGTTAACCACCTGAGGCCACATATACAAACATTTTTTTTTCCTACCTACCAGTTACAACTTGGGGTCTGAATAAAGGATGACTAAACCCTGAAGAAAACTTTAATCAGAATAAACATGCTTTTCTTTTGAGCATGCTTGTAGCCTGAGTGGCCTTTTTATTTGCCCTCTCCAGCCATAGGGAAATGTCCACTCTGATCTTCTTGTCGAAACTTAAACTATGCATTTCTTCAATAAAGGAATGATGTTTTAGTTCAGTACAGCAGTTGTGGGGTAATATGCACAAGGCTGAAGTCTAATTGATAGTAATTTGCTATTTGAACTCTCAGTTGATTAGTGGCTCTACTCTAACTATGTTTGGAGTTCTTCCTATCTGGTTCATCATATAGTTTTTTTTTTTTAAAGTATTCTGTACAGCATGTGTCTGGTTGCTTGTGACAAATGTATCTGTATTCCCAGTAGAGTAGCAAAAGGCAAAAAGACTTTAGGGAAGTTAATCAAACTCTCGGTATACATACACACCAATATATAGGACTATAGGGAGACATCACACTTGGTAGCTGGCAGAAAATGGACAGCCCTAATGAATTAGGCTATGTAACAAGTCTACTTTGCTTTTTAACTTTTTCCAGGAGCAATTCTGTTCCTTCTAGCAAAAACTCCATCTTTGTTATAATCTATAAAGTTCCCTTCCTGTTGCCTACAACTTGTCGGGGGGAGGTTCTCTTGCCTGCAGTAAGGTTCCCTCAAACCTCTAACATTCTCAGTCTGATATAAATATCTTGTATTTTAATTCTCTTTGGGCTAGTCTACACTGGCAGTGGCAGTGCTTTAACATGGCTTGTGTAGTTGCGGCAGAGCGCACTCCAAAAAACCCACTTCCACGAGGGGCGTAGTGACCAGCTTTGGGAGCCCAGCGCTGGTGCACTGTCTACACTGGCGCTTTACAGTGCTGAAACTTGCTGCGCTCAGGGGGGGGTGTAGACAAGCCCTTTGCTCATACAGCAGGAGATACTGACTTCTTATCTCAATTTCTGGCAGTTAAGTAACTATTGTTTCAGGGAGGCCTCCATCATGGTGAGGTTGTGAGAGGAGGAGGAGACGTACCCTATCTTACCCTCTCAAAAAAAGCATAATTCTTCCATTAGTCTGGGTTGGTTTTGCTCATCTCATCTCTTCATTCTGACTGTTGGGAACTACTTACTTAGCTGCCATGTCACTGCCACACAGAGCCTTTAGAGCAGCTGAAGCTATATCATACTAGCAACTTTATAAGTAATGACTGAAATGTACATACTCAGTTCTGTTGATGCTACTAATTAGTCTTTAGAAATCTCAGCCAGTTATATCCAGCTACTGAACAGCAGGCAACATTCATCTGGAATATTTGAGTGAACTTCCCTGGGCGAGAGATGAGAGAGAAGGCATGGGGGGGGGGGGCAGTCTCTGTAGCAAGTGCTCTTGCCTCTGGAATTCTCTTCCACTAGAAATATGCGTACTAGCTGGGCCACATTCAAGAAGTGCTTCCGTTTCTAACTCTAAATTCCGGAGCCCTTAGCATACAGAGATGGCTTTCTCATTCCTCTCTGTAAGTTTGTAGTGCCAGATTTTTTGACTGGTGTAAATCAGCATTTTTTAAAAAAAATAGGAAAAAAAAGCTTGGTTAGTTTTGAATCAAAACTGAATTAGGTAGTTTTTTCTCATTGTAATGAAAAACAGGAAATTTTGTTCAAGTCAAATAAAATGTTTTGAATGTCAGTTTGAAGTGACATCTTTTAAAATTTTTGTTTTCAGAGAGGGTTTTTAGCAGAAATTACTTGCCAAATTTGACCTGAACTCTTAAATAGTTTTGGTGCCCCGAAAAAGTAATTTTGGGGTGGATTTATCATTTGCAGAGCCAGGCTACATGGAAGACAATGGAGCTAGGCTGATTTGCACTTGCTGAAAATCTGGCCCATAGTGTTATGGAGGACTGGGAGTTTCCCTGTTCTTGGCGAAATATTGCTTGTCATCTCAACCATGTCTAGTATGCCTCGAGAGTACACTGATGGCACTGATATAGCAACAAATTGGCTTCAGGTTCTGTCTTACAAATTTCCCCAGCTTTGCCTCCAGTCATGTGGGCAAAGTGTTTACCTGCTCAGTTATTGAACTTCATTAATTATTGCCAATCCAGGAAGGTCCTTTTGATGACCCTTAATTTACTTACATAAATACTTTCCTTGGTGCTGATTTAATTGTAAATAAACTCAGAGTTTAACTAGACTGCCTAGCCTATCAGCTGGGCATCTGGTCACAGTATTGTGTTGCCCCTTCCATGGCCTATAATCTCTATATCTATATCTATATATATTATTTTTAGTTTGAAATAATCCTAAAATTTTGTACTGGAGTTAGAATAATTTTTATTCTCTCTAAGGAAAGCAACATAATGCAACTCTTAATTTATGATTGCTTAAATCATTAACATGCGTTTACTTTTTTATTTTTGTTCCCAGTTGCAGGAGCTAGTGTTGTCACTCTTCATCCCCTCCTGTCCTCCCCACCCCCTGCTGCGCACTGTTTTCTTAAACAGTCCACTTTTTGTTTCTTCATTTGATGTACTGTAAAGTCAGAGACTACTCTACATGAAAGCCTATTCAAAAACTGGCCTCAATGTTTTATACTTACACTATTGTCTAACTGAAAAACTCATTTGTATACTCCGCTATAATGGTGTTTAGTACAGAGCATGCATTTAAAGAGCAATTTATTATAGGACTAGCTGAAGTACAAATTTGTTGACTAAGTCATTTGGATCCCTGTGGTGCTGTGTGCAGTACCATGTCGCTTTAATTTGTGCAATTTAGCAAAGTTTCTGTAGAATTACACTAATCCTTTTCTTTCACCTTACCATACTATAGCTCCCTTATGGAGTGAAATATAACTTAGAAAATCACAATTTCATCATTCAAAGGAAGATATTGAGAAGTTTTCAGTTTATTCTTTAAATGGTGGCTTAGTAACCCTGGTTCTGCTCTACAGAATTCCTCTTTAAATGGGAATCAGATGATTCTTGAGTTTCTTGGTATGTGTGGGGTTTTTTCTTTGCTTGTGGGAGACTTCACAAGGTCATAATTTGTAAATCCTACTTATTTGTAGGGCACTGGCTGACATGAACAACGATGGGAGGATGGACCAGATGGAGTTTTCTATTGCTATGAAACTTATCAAACTAAAACTACAAGGTTATCAGCTCCCCTCTGCACTCCCTTCTGCCATGAAGCAGCCTCCCATTGCTATTACTGGTGCACCAGGGTTTGGTAAGAGCAGAATTTGTTTCTAGTTTTGTGGTATGATAACCTCTCTAAAAGTTTTTGTTTGGGGTGTTTATATTTTGATTTATTTCAATTTCTAAAATTGGAAAAGGTACTACTTTACAATCAAAATGATATATAGTTTAAAAACAGCCTAATGAGCCTGGCTCCTTAGCATCCAGGCATAATCAATAACCAGTCAGTTTTTCCTACTCCATTTCAGACCTTGCTTCTCTCCCTCTGTATTCTCACCAAATATTAGGAAAAGCAGATGGGCCTTGCACCATTCTGTGAAGATCAACCGAGCTGGGCTGTTTCAGACCAAGGGGAGTGAATGAATTCCGAAGTTGGGGGCCCTCAATGAGACCACCTTGCTGGCAGTTTTCTTAGGTCTTCATTAATGGGTTCCAGCTCTAATACCTCTGCCACAGTTACGATCAGCGATCTTGATTTAATTTAAACAGAATAGTGTGGGAGCAGTCCACACCTGTTGGCCTATGCAAAGAGTGGCATTAATAATATCCAGACTGGCTACTGCTTCTCTTGTTCTTGTAACTGGTATTGCTGAAGTGGTCGTGACACCAAAGAGAGGATTGGGTAATGCAGGATTGAAATAAATGGGTGGGTCAAAGCCTGGGACCTCATGCTTAACATGTTGAGTTTCTTCTGCATTCTGGTGTTGAGAGCCACTTTACATGTAACCTTTAGTTTGCAACATCTCATCATCAGATGCCTGGTAATTGTGATCACCATAAAGAGTGAATTAAATAATGTACAGAAGCTCCGTTCCGTTTCGAAATGCCTTGCGTAAGTCGAGTTTTGCGTAAGTCGGGAATGTATCTCCGACAACTACGCCAAAAAAAAAACCCACCAAAGGGCACTTACGGAACTTTTTCCGTAAGTCAGGTTTGCGCAACCCGGGGAGCATCTGTTTTTGGTAAGTGTTGCAACTAAACTCTCACCCTTTAAAGCCTGTATATCTGCTAATTAGTTATTTTTTCCCCCCTCCCCCCACACCAAACTTTTGCTGTTTGGTTTCTAAGTGAAGTTCAAAATAACAAATATTGTACTTAAGGAAGAAAAAGCATAATAAAGATTGAAATTTAACTTATTATGAAGCAAGAAATCCAGCAAATAATTAGATTTTTCTTCTCCTAGCTCCACTGTAGACATGCTCCCAGCTGCATGCACGTAGCCTCACCTCTTTCCCCAGTGGAATCACTGAATCTCCTTGACCTCCATTTGTCATCTGTGCAGCTGTGCTCATACCTAAAATCTCATATTACTGTGCTTTACCCTATTAGCTTTGCATTGCTTTGTTTTGGCAGTAGGCTGCGAGCAGTTCTCCTGAAACTCATTCTTTTTGGACGGTGGCTAAATGTAGATTTTCGGTTCTCTACTCACCAGTGTTTGACAGTACCGCTCTTCATCTAGCACACAGTGAACAATTTTCTATAGCAAATTCTTATATTTCTTTGGTTAGCACTGCAGTCACATAATCCTATTGTGATGGGTTGGATCACAGAACCCCCCCCTGAGAACTGCCACCCAGTGTGCCAAGACTACTTCTATCCCTGTTTTCCCTGCCAGCTCAGGACTCCAGCACCCTGTCTTGCTGAGCCAGACACTCCCGTCTGCTCCAACACAGACCCAGGGTCTGAATTACTTGCCCCAAAGCTGCAGGTTTACATGAAAACAGCCCACAGAAGTGTGCTTGTCTTTAGCACTCAGATGCCCAACTCCCAATGGGGTCTAAACGCAGATAAGCGTTATACAGGGTAAAACGGATTTATGCAGGGTAAACTCATAAATTGTTCGCCCTCTATAACACTGGTGGAGAGATGTGCACAGTCATTTGCTCCCCCAGGTATTAACACATACATTGAGTTAATTAATAAGTAAAAAGTGATTTTATTAAATACAGAAAGTAGGATTCAAGTGGTTCCAAGTAGTAACAGACAGAACAAAGTAAGTCACCAAGCAAAATAAAATAAAATGCGCAAATCTATGTCTAATCAAACTAAATACAGATAACCTCACCCTTAGAGATGCTTCAGAAAGTTTTTTCCTCAGACTGGACACCTTCCAGGCCTGGGCACAATTCTTTCCCCTGGTACAGCTCTTGATTCTTCATGATGGCTCCTCTCTCTCCCCTTGTTCTGTACCCCCCCCCCCTATATATCTTTTGCTTAAAGCGGGAATCCTTTGTCACTCTGGGTTCCCCCCCCCCCCACTGGAAAAGCACCAGGTTAAAGATGGATTCCAGTTCAGGTGACATGATCACATGTCACTGCAAGACTTCATTACCCACTTGCCAGCACACACACATACAGGAAGACTCACAGGTAAAAACACAGCCATCTGCAGACAATGGTCCTGGTTAATGGGAGTCATCAAGATTCCAAACCACCATTAATGGCCCACACTTTGCATAATTACAGTAGGCCCTCAGAGTCATATTTTATATTTCTAGTTTCAGATACAAGAGTAGTACATTTATACAAGTAGGATGATCACATCCAGTAGATTATAAGCTTTGTAATGATACCTTACAAGAGACCTTTTGCATGAAGCATATCCCAGTTACATTATATTCACTTATCATATTTTTATAAAACCATATAGACTGCAACATCACACCTATAATATACATACACTATGAAATATTATGCCCTGCTCCCTAAACCATTTCATGTTGCCATCACTATCTGAGAGCTTGGTAACCCTGGGATTTTTTAGAGTCTTTATCTTCACCTCAGCCTGCTATCTAGTTCTAGGTTTATTGTTGTATAACTCTGCAGTCTGCAAACTCCTTAAATTCATTTCTGATACAAATGATTCTAAATCAGAAAAATGTCTACTTTTTCTTGTATGCAGGTATTGGGGGCATTGTCAGCATGCCATCTCTTACAGCTGTAGCCCCAGTACCAATGGCGTCCATTCCAGTAGTAGGAATGTCTCCACCTTTAGTATCTTCTGTTCCTACAGCAGCAGTGCCTCCCCTGGCTAATGGAGCTCCTGCTGTTATACAACCTCTGCCTGCTTTTGCTCATCCTGGTATGCTGCATACTGACACTATATATTTACTTTTTTTCTGTTAAATTGTTGAGCAATTTTCTTTGTATCCAAAAAGCGAGAATATGGTATTAGTAACTTATTATTTAAAATAATTGCTTTATTTAGGGAATACACTAATAGGATTAAAAAAAGTTTTAAACCTTAAACAAAAACTTAAACCTTCAGTAGAAGATATCTAGATTTATTATATTTTAAAACTACGTAGATTTTTTGGATATTTCTATACACAAACCAACAATCACCATGAATGAAACGTTAGCACTCTAGTAAAAGTACAATAAAATTAGCTTGCCCATCATCCAGAATTGATACCTACACATTGGTACTCCTTACCTATTTGTAACCATTAAGATAATACTGTTCTTTGGATTATTTTCAAAGTACCAGAATATACAGTATGCCAATTTTTATTTTATAAAGTAAGCTGCTCTTGAATGTATCAACCAGATTTATATAAAGAATGCAAATTCAGGAAGTCGTGAAGGTGATGTGTGTTCTATTTTTTGTGGGGCAGAGGAGAGGTTGCTAATTTATTTTTGTATTGGGAACATTACCTAAAAAAACTCCAAACTGATTTTAAAATCATAATACTTGTTTTGTGGGGTTAGCAGTTAGTTGTCTATCATTGTGAATTGTACAGATATGTTTCAAATTTACTTTTCAGAATTAACATTATTCTTACTATTACAGCCACATTGCCAAAGAGTTCTTCGTTTAGTAGATCTGGACCTGGGTCACAGTTAAACGCTAAACTGCAAAAGGCACAATCATTTGATGTGGCTAGGTAAGTAAGTGTAGAGTGTCTGTGCATGTGTGAAATATGCTGTAGCAGGCAGTACTGCCTTAGACTCTAATAGCTTAATACCATTCTTCATTAAACTTCACTTCTGTAATTAAGAAAATCAAGACTTGTCAAGTTATTACTTCAGAGATTTAATAGAATATCTTCTTTAAATGTGAAATACCAGATTAGTTACAAACCATTGAAATAGAGCATTTAACTGTTTTTTAAGTTTCAAATCACATTACAACATGAGGCTTTTGAGTGTGTACAGAAAAGTTTGCTTCCTTTCATATCACAAGGCCCCTCCTTTTGTGCTGCAGAAAGATAACACATTTTTCTTAGAAAATAAAGAGAAGTAGTTTCAGAAGTAAAATATTAAAATGTGGGAACTGTGGGAGTGCTGTCCAGAGACTAATTCTTCCTTGTAAGTTTTTCCTTATATGTAAGAATTTATTAAAAACTGGTCCAAGGAGACATAAAATATTGACTTAGAGAACTTCAAAGAGGGAGGGGAGTTAATAGTTGCAATATAGTGTTGAGGACTAAACAGTTGCTCAAATTCCTGTGGATTTCAGGGAAGAAAATAATTGCTTCTTCACATGCCATTTTTAAGTGTTTTAAATTTTGTTTGGCTTTTAATCTTAGCTCTCCAGGTAAATTGTCCTTGGAAATTTCTTTTGTGTCACAGTATGAGATGCTAAATGTCACTATTACTTTGTCTGTAAATGAGATTAAAAATGCCTGCAACTCAAACCTTTGTTTGTCTCAGAGTATTGTTGGGAGCACAGTGGAAGCAGTATGCTCTAATCCCCACACGGGGAGGGGAGTGTACCCCTTCCACCAGTGTGAAGTAATAGTTATTAGCTCCATAGGGACTGACATCTAGGACTCTTTAGGTAAAAGAACTGGATATTCCTTAAGACAGCTATCACAGTTATAAGGCAAACTTCACCTCTGACTCTCTGGTCTTCTAGAGCTGGGTGAGATACGGTTTTCCTTTCCTGTAAAACCTTTGAGATTTCAAAAATTTTCCTGTTACATATTGGGATGAACCTGAGACATTTTGAAGTTTTGAGGTGGAAGAGAATAGGAGAGTGGGCAGACTATTCAGGGATTGATTTCTCTAAATATCTCCTGTTGGAGCTGTTCCACTGTATATGAAAAGTATTCACTGGACCAGAGAGACACTAACTTTATAGTCCAGCGAATAGTGCAGTCACTTGGGATGTGGGAGACCCAGGCTAAAGTCCGTGCTTTGAGTCAGACAGAATGCCCTAACCGTCATGCTATTAGCTATTCTGTGGTGATTAGTCTCTCTCATTTTGATCAGAAATTCCATCATTTAAACAGGTATGGTCCCACAAAGTTTTGGTTTTGATGAATTGGCATTTTCTGATGAGAAAACATTTTTAGTAGGGCTGTCAATTAATTGCAGTTAATTTGTTTTGAATTAATTTGAGTTAACTCAATTAAAAAATTAATTGTGATTGCAGTTTTAATCACACCATTAAAGAATACCAATTTAAATTTATTTTAAATATTTTGGATGTTTTTCTACATTTTCAAATATACTGATTTCAATTACAACACAATACAAAGTGTAGTGTGTTCACTTTATATTATATTTGCACTATAAAATATGATAAACAAAAGTATTTTTCAATTCACTTTATACAAGTACTGTAGTGCAGTCTCTTTATCATGAAAGTGCAATTTACAAATGTCGGGGGGGTTTTTCCCCCTGTTACATTGTTTTGGTTTTGAGTGCAGTTATGTAAAACTTTAGCACCTACAAGTCTATACTGCTGATGACTGGTTCTGCTCGATAACTATTCAAAGCAGTGCAGACTGATGCATGTTCATTTTTCATCATCTAAGTCAGATGCCACCAGGTTAATTTTCTTTTTTGGTGGTTCAGGTTCTGTAGTTTTCCGAATCAGAGTGTTGCTCTTTTAAGACTTCTGAAAGCATGTTCCATGCCTTGTCCCTCTCAGATTTTAGAAGGCACTTCAGATTTCTGAAACCTTGGGTCAAGTGTTATAGCTCCTTTTAGAAATCTTATATTGGTACCATCTTTGCATTTTTTCAAATCTTATATTGGTACCTTCTTTGCATTTTTTCAAATCTGCAATGAAAGTGTTCTTATATTGAACATATGCTGAGTTGTCATCCAAGACTGCCATAACACGAAATATATGGCAGAATGCAGATAAAACCACAGAGCAGGAGACCTATAATTCTCCCCCAAGGAGTTCAGTCACAAATTTAATTAACACATTATTTTTTTAATGATAGCCATCAGTATGGAAGCATGTCCTCTGGAATGGTGGTAAAAGCATAAAGGGACATACGAATGTTTAGCATGTAAACATGGCATGTAAACACCTTGCAATGCCAGCTGCAAAAGTGCCATGCGAATGCCTGTTCTCACTTTCAGGTGACATTGTAAATAAGAAGTAGGCAGCATTATCGCCTATAAATGTAAACAAACTTGTTTCTCTTAGCAATTGGCTGAACAAGAAGTAGGACTGAGGGGACTTGTAGGCGCTAAAGTTTTACATTGTTTTATTTTTGAATGCAGTTTAAAAAAAAATCTACATTTGTAAGGTGTAAATATTTGTAAACAAAAATAATATAAAGTGACTACTGTATACTTTGTATTCCATGTTGTAGTTGAAATCAATATATTTGAAAATGTAAAAAAAAGATCCAAAAATATTTAAATAAAATGGTATTCTGTTATTGTTTAACTGTGCAATTTAAAACTGCGATTAATCATGATTAATTTTTTTAATCGTTTGACAGCCCTAACTTTTAGAGTTCTAGCACGAGCCCCACTACACTGAATCTGTTGACCTGTGCTGCAGTTCTTGTTCCCACCATTGGCTCCAAAATGCAGTGTAGACATACCTTCTCAGACTTGAGCTCTGGGCTGCTGTTCCCTGTGATCAGTCATGATTATCTTAGCAGGCCTGACTTCTCTTCAGTGCCTGCAGTTCTGTTCCCTCTGGGAACAGACACCGTGCTTTAAGAAGGCGCTCTATCCACTCATTACCAAAGTATTACTTGGAACCAAAATGTTTTAGAGAACAGATCTTAAAACTATAAATTAATCTCTACACATTGCTGCCTCTCTAAAGCTTAACATTGCAGGTAGCAGGAAAGGTCCGTTTTCTTCAGACTCCCTCCATAGATCTGTTCTCTGTGTCAGCCTGTCCCCCCTTGACACCTCTTCACAGTTGACAGCTCCTCCATTCCTCTCTTTTTGACTGTTCAGTGTTTGTTTGGAGGATACTTGTCTAGATCCATTGTGACAGGTTTTAGAGTGGTAGCCGTGTTAGTCTGTATCAGCAAAAAGAATGAGGAGTATTTGTGGCACCTTAGAGACTAACAAATTTATTTGGGCATAAGCTTTCGTGGGCTAAAACCTACTTCATCAGATGCACACAGTGGAAAATACAGTAGGAAGACAGACACACACACACACACACACACACACACACACACACACACACATAAGAAAGTGGGTGCATAC